GAGGGAACAAGACAGTAGCAGCAGCTTTCCTGCAGCCCAGCTTTATAGCCCAGAAAGTTACACAAAGGGGTTACAGATAACAGAACTCTGAGGAGCATAACACTAATGGTAGAGTTTACATTTTTGCTGGCCCCGACATCAGAATTTATGAAGGTCATTAGAGCCTCAGAGAAGGTCGTTATCTGGCCAGGGAAGGCCAAGATTTGTGAGGCATCACTAAAGTTTCAGAGAGGGCTGCTACTGGTCAGAGAGCCAGGCATGGGCGAGTTCAAGGCACGGGCAGGCATTCCAAGCAGGTTCAGAATTTGCAGTAATTTATAGTAAAGCTGAAATTATCTTTTCATTGCTTTGTGGCGAGATGGCTCCCAATTTTAAGAAAAGATCAGGTTGGGTCTATCATCTGAGTCATACTCCCTGGCTGGGTGCTGAGGCACTCAGTCACAGAAACGTGGCAGAACTTTCCCCAACCTTCTTGTGCATAGGTATATCTTGCTACCATGGGTAAAGCTATGCTCACCTGTTCCTTTGTAATATAACCCCTTGCCCTGTTTAGGATAGAATCTTCCATGGAAGTGCCTTGTGTGTGTCCCCTTCTCTTACTGTGCCCTTAGGTGTGGCCTACCCAGGTGTCAGTCAACCTGCTGACAGTGGACATCATGAAGCTAGTCTCAGCTCCCTGAAACCTGACCTCTTGCCTCATTTGAATAGCTTCTCCTCAATAAAAGGGGTCAGCTGGTGCTTGCTTGCTCGCTCGCGCGCGCACGCGCACACTCTCTCTCTTCCTCTCCCTCTCTCTTCCTGTGAAGCCTTAAGGTCAGAGGAGCCATCACAGCAACTCCAAAGAAAAAGGTATTAGTGTCTCTTGTGATTATTTTGTGCAGCCCAGTTAGCCCAGTTCAACTGGAGTAACCTCTGAGCCTTTTAGTTGCGAGAACAGAAAGCCGGCAGGTAGGTATAAGGTACTATGAGGCCTAAGAGGAGAAATTCTCCTGCCCTGTGACAGAAGGGAAACTTTGAGTGGGTCTTGAAGAAAGAATGAGTTTCCCAGGCCAACAGACATTCCATCTCATCAGGGCTAGATGGACAAAGCCAGGAGGCCACAATGTAATTAACTGATAGACTGAAGTGCTGGGGACTGAACCCAAGGCCTTATGTGTCCGATCGGCAGGATACATCAAGGTGGGCAGCGAACCTAGATGGGGAGGAATGAAGGGACAAGAGACACCAAAGGTGACAGCAAGACAGGAATTCTGATCAAACTGCAAACTTTTATTGTTCACACAGGGGTATTTATATGCTAGGGATGGGGAAGCTCTCTAATCAGCAATTGCTGGATGTGGGTGGTAAAACTGCCAGCTGCAAGATGTCTGATGATCCTGATAACCGCAGGATGTTCCAGAGAGATAGGTAGCTGCAGGATGCCTCCCAGGCAGGATGTCTCCCAGGGGGCTGTCAGGCTAATCTTTGAAGGAGAATTTCCTTCTAGTCCCCGACATTTCCCCCTTTCTTATATAAAATATTTGACCATACCTTACCGGCCATGTTTTTAGGGGGTGATAGAGGCTCTGTTCCTCTAGGAGGCCTTAGAAATAAGCCTGTGAGAAGGGTAGAACATCCTTTTAAATGTTGGCAGCACGGTCTTCCATCTCCAGATGATGATAGTGGACCTGTATGAGCTTAGAGGCCAAAAATATTAATCTATTCTTTAATAAATTTTACCAGCCTGTTTATAATGCAGCTGTTATTCCAAGGCTGGCAAGGAGTGGTAAGGCCTGTATTGCCTGCTTGTGTCTTTTGACTAAGGTGTCTAGGCTAGGAATGGGTAGAGGTTCATCTCCTGGGACAATAGTTATATCAGGGAGTAATAAGGCAAGAACACAGCCACCGGTCCAATTCGCTGGAAGCCTGGGGAAGGCCAAGTTTCCTCCACACATAAAAACTGAGCCATTGGGGGGACAAAGAGATGGGGTGGGTGAGGAATAATTTTGTACTGTTGAGCAATTTCCAAAGGAAGAAACTCCAACATCAATATCATAGGTATTATTCTTCATCGCGCCTAAAAGACATGATGTAAAAGTGCCTATAGGTTGTACTTTAAAAGAAAATCCAGGTTGGCATGTATTATTGTTGTCTATGATAGAATTAATAGGAACTGCCATAGGCATGATTGCCCCTGTTGTCATGCAGAGCCAGCAATCAATAGCAAGGGTGGGGTTGGAATTATTAAGCAAGGAGAAGGTAGATTCTAAACAAATTCTGTGATTCTTCACTACCAGATTCCTTAGTTGGCAATAAATGTCTGATTACTGAAATCAGGTGAGTTTTCTGTCACTTGCAGATGAAACCATTTTAACTCCTACACTTTAAATTATTTCCAGAGCAGGATCCCTATGTGGAATTTCTAGATATGGATTATTGATGTTTACAGACCACTCTCACTCTGGAAGAGCTTTGACTGGGACTCCCATCAGCCCACCCAAAACCACCCTTCTCACCACAGCCTCCTCATTGAGTCCCCGAGTATTATCATTCTTTACTGCTAATTTGGTAGGCAGATTTTTACTACCTCAAAATCCTCGGTTGTTCATCTCCATTTGGTGAAGTGGTGTGTGACAGGACTTGGCCTTGGGGTGTCCTCCCAGGGAGGAGAGTGTGGTCAGGAGCAGGTGGAGGTGGCATCTTATAAGGGCCATCAGGGGAATCACATGGGAGGGATCAAGTACTCATGCATGTGAGGCCAGAAATTTGAGAGTGAAAAGCTAGCCTGAGCCTGCAGGGGTGACTAGAAATCACAGACCACAGACAGCCCCGGGGGGAGCAGCATTCTGAAGCACCTGTATCAAAACACTGAGTCTCCCCAGTCACACTGTGCCTCTCTTGCGGGTGCTTCCACCCAGAGATGAGCTTAAAGACATGATTTGTTAAGACCCCTAACCCAGAAAAAGATAAGGCCAAAATGACCTAACATCTGCTAAACTGTTTTTTCAAATTTTCAATAGAGACAAAGTTAGACATGAGGATGAAGTCTTCTTCTATTGAAACTCAATAAAATAAATTTTTTTGTATCAGGATTCATTCATTCAGAAAAACTGACAGCATGGAATGTGATGGACATCACTATCCAAAGTACATGTATGAAGACACGAATTGGGTGTCAACATACTTTATATACAGAGATATGAAAAACTGTGGTGTATATGTGTAACAAGAATTGTAATGCAAAAAACAAAAAACAAAATACATGTATAAAGACATGATTTGGTGTGAACATACTTTATATTATATACAAAGATATGAAAAATTGTGTTTTATATGATATAACAATTCTTATATAATAAGAATTGTAATGCACTCTGCTGTCATGTATTTAAAAAAATAAAGTCCATTAAAGAAAAAAAAACAGAAAAAAGAAATACTGACAGAAAAACACTCCAGGTATTTCAAACAGATGGGATTTCATTTAGGGAATTTTTACAATCATGTCAGGAAGTCTGAAAGAGCAAAAGGAAAAAAAGGGGTGGGGTGGGGATGCTGGAGAAACCAGAAGAAATGAATTGATTTGAATGAAATAATTTGAATTTGAGTATTTTCATTGACTTGAGCTAATCTGAATAAGCCCCCTACTCTGTCTTCTTGGACTGTGGCCTTCCTGACAGTTCCTCTCTGCTCCCCAAGCGCCTTTTCTGGGAGTGGGTGTCAGAGGGAAATGCAGAAAGGTGCATGCTAACCTTTCCCTGGACCTTCCTCAGAGCTCTTCCAGGCTCTAACTTAGGAAGGCTGAGCTAGCAAGGTATAAATATGGACCCTTGAAAAGAGCAACCCTTGCCCTGGACCTTCCTCATCTCTTCACTTTACTGTGTGCCCCAAATTCCCCCAAGTAGAGCCATTAGGGTTTCAAATACACACTTAGAAAGCTAATGCCAGCGCTGCAGGAAAGAGGGAACCGCTGTCCATTTGGAGCTTCCTGACGTTCAATCCAATGTTCGATTCAGGTTAGATAATACATGCCAAGGACAAGGTCCTAAGTCCCAAAATGGTGTCACTGGACTAAAATCAAAGTGTGGGTAAGCTGGGCTCCTTTATGAAGGGACCAGGGACAAAGGATTTCTACACTTTTCTCCAGCTCTGGAGATTGCTCACATTCCAGGCTTGGGCCCCGTTTCTCCATCTTTTAAGCCACCACAGCAGGTGAGCCCCTCTCTGCATTTCTCTGGCTTTTCTTCTCAAGTCTTAGCATCACTCAGATCTCCCCTGAGCGCAGCCTGGAAGGTTCTGGTCGTGGTCATGAGATTAAACTGGGCCCCACCTCAAGGTCTGGACCTTTCATCATCTGCAAGTCAGTCTGTCACCCAGATTCAGGAGGAGGACCTCAACAGGAGGGGTTACTCTGCCTACTGCTTTCTCCCAATTCTTATCACCCCAAAGTCACTGCCCACGACAAGATTTCCTAAAATCCTTCTTCCAAAAGCTTCAGCAGTTTTGCATCTTTCTCTTAATGTCTCTGAAAAAAACATTCTGGGTCCCAACCTGGAGCCTCTTCCTCCTGGGAAGAGGAGAGAAACAACCCGACACCAAGTCAAACCCGTCTAGAGGGCAGGACCCGGCCAGGCGGGGACCAGAATGTGGCCCTCACGCTGACCTCTGTGGGCGGAGGCGGGGAGATCCGCACTTTGTTCCTCCAGGGACTCCGAGGTGGCCCCCTGCGGCGGGGACCCGCTGAGGCGTCCATCCTTGGTCTCCCTGCAACCATCAGGGACACAGTACTCCTTCTCAGCTTTTGTCCCCTGCGAGGTGTGGGCTGCGGCAAGCTTGTCCTGCAGCGGGGCCACCAGGATTTCCCGGTGTCGGTGCCAGGTGTCCCCGTCGTCGTCTTCCTCTGCCACCCCAGCCCCGCTCCCCACGTGGGGTTCCTCAGCTGTCCTGCACCGCCGGCCTCGCAGTAACCGGTGCCCGCTGTGACCGCCCCCTCCGCGTCTCCATGGCGCTGGGCGACGCTAGGAGCCGCCGAGCCAGGGCCCGGGAGTGCAGGCCCGCGGAGGTCGCCCCGGCCCCGCAACCGTGTGGCCCGGGTTAAATGCTCGCGACAGGGCTGCCACAGGGCTGGGACCTGGTGTGTTCTGAGGTTGTGCACCCGGCACCGCCTCATCCCCCCGGAGGCCACCGCTTCTCCCTGTAGGAACGTCCCAGGCCTGGACCGTCCACAGCCCCAGGGCGCTTTGTGGGCTCCAGGTGGGTAGCTTGGGTTTTCTCCAAAACGCATTTAAATTGCTGTGTGACCATAAAGCGGCCACTCCTGTCCTCCTCCTTGCTCCCTGGGACTCCGAGGTGGAGTCAGCAAACTGTCCAAGCTGGGTGAGCAGGGGGCTTAGAGCTGGGACTGTCCCGCATCCCTGGAGACAGAGGGCAGCACTCCTAACTCCCCTCATCCCCTCAGCTTCCCGCCTCCACTGTCCCATTTCCAGGCCACTGGGGGTGGGGGGAGTCACCTTTAGATAAGTAAAGCCCAGCACAGGGGAGGCACAAACATTTGGACCTTCAGTAACTATTCTCTAAGGAACCAACCTATCCATGGTGGTTTTGAAGTGCCCAAGTCTTTGTTAACCTGGCCCACATTTACTGTATATAGAAATGACATAAAGAAATTCTTGTGACAAAAACATTATGCTGTCTTAACAGAGCATTTACAGAATCTATGTGTGTGGTTTATAAGAGAAAGTTGGTGACATTTTGATGTTGGTCTGTAAAAATATTGTAATTTTTCCCTTATGTATGTGTCTCTGTGTTTTGCTGGGTTTGTTCTTTCTTTCCAGAATACTTTTCACTCATGTTGGAATCATTTGTTATGCAGCAATAAGATACTAATACCAATGAGGTCTAATTTGAAATTGTGAACTAATCCAGCTAATAGCTCACACAGCACCTACAGATGTTGGCTGGATTTCTCCTGAAAATTTAAAATATCCCATAGTGCCCTTAAGTGTAATGCAGTGCCTCTAAGCACCTCAACATACAGTTTGGGAATTGTAGTTCTAAAGCACAAAGCAAAAAGGATTGATTCCTCAAGAAGATTTGTCAATTCTAAATTTATAGGTACCTAATAACATAGCCTTAAAATATATAAAACAAAATTGGCAGAAGTAGAAAAATTTATATTCATATCCCTCTCTCATTAACTGATAGAATACTCGTATAAAATTAATCCCAGCAGCTCGGGAGGCGGAGGCAGGAGGATCTCGAGTTCAAAGCCAGCCTCAGCAAAAGCAAGGCGTCAACTCAGTGAGACCCTGTCACTAATTAAAATACAAGATAGGGCTGGGGATGTGGGTTAGTGGTCAGTACTCCTGAGTTCAATACCCTCCCACTATCTCCCCAAAATAAAGACAAATGTAATGGGAAACCATTAGAGAGATTTGATTTATATTTCAAAAACATTATTCTGGCCCTCGGTAGAGAACATTATTCAGACCCACTGCAGGCAAGAGAACTGTTGCAGTTGCACAGTAGAAAAGTGATTGTGAGATCGAAGAGCCAGGTTCCTTTTGACATTTACTTTGGTCAATAACCCCATTTCTTTCCAGTTTCTTTAGCTCCACCAGATCTGGACTCAAGAGCCCTTTCGATGTAAGACAACTTTGGACAGTCTCTATCTAGAAACCTTTTTATAGGGGAAAACTACAATAATTTCTGAAAACCTTTGTCCATGTAAATGCAGATCAGAGGCCTCACTATTACCTTTAGCTGTCATATGTAGGGACCTTTCAGAGCTGGCTGATTTAAGAAACAAAATCAGTATTAATTGGTGGTTTTGTATGACTAACAGAATAACAATAACATCAACAAATGTAGTTTATTGGGGTCTTTCCAGTGTGTGCCAAGCATTGTATAAAGTGCTTTATAAATTTACTTAATCTATACAACAACCATATTTCATTTGACAGTTGACTTCATAACTCACCTAAAGCCAGTGAGTCTAGTGGTAGAGACAACACTAGACTACTTGCCTACAAAGTCCACATTCTTTTTTTTTTTTTGAGAGAGAATTTTTAATATTTATTATTATTTAGTTTTCGGCAGACACAACATCTTTGTTTGTATGTGGTGCTGAGGATCGAACCCGGGCCGCACGCATGCCAGGTGAGCGCGCTACCACTTGAGCCACATCCCCAGCCCCAAAAGTCCACATTCTTAAGCACTTTGATATTTATAATGCCTGACAAGACTTGTGCCATTTTGAAATCAGTGTGTCCCTGGTAATACCTGGTACCCAGCGTTAGTGTTGATTGCTTTCCCTTCTGAGTCCATGGGTGCTGCCCCCATTTTAAAGAATCCTAAAGAAAGAATACGGATCCATAAACATGGAAATTGGAAATTGAACAGTTCCTTTCTACGCTCTGTATCTTGACTCCCCAGCCCTATTTAAGATAAGCAAAACACTCTAATAAGATTTTCACAGAAGAGTGTGCAGCAATATTTGTCCCCATTTAGAGGGAGGAGGTGAGGCCGGGGATGTGGTTCAGTGGTAGAGGCTTGCTTGTGTGAGGTGTGAAGTTCAATCTCTAGCTGCAAAAAGAAAAAAAAAAAAAAAAAAGAAAAAAAGAAAAGAAGGAAGGAAGGAAGGTTGGTTGCTCCTAGAGGGAGAGGCAAGTTCTATACCTTGAAAAAGACACCTGTATGTTGGGTTTCAGGACAAGTGACTATTTTCAGAATCCAAGTGGAATCTCACACTACAAAACAATGCCAAGAGCCAAGGAAGGGAAACGCAAAACCAAAGAGGCTTCCCTTCCCATTGTCCCGATTCTTCAAAAGTTCCTGAAAACCTATGAGAAGCACTGCTCGAAGTTTCAGACGTCTGTGTGCCCAGCCATCAGAAGGGACCTGAACAGCAGCATTGACAGTGAACAGAGCCTCAGGAAGGTGAGCAGGGGCCGTCTGTCTTTAGTCTTCTCTAAAACAGACTGACTGGGGGTCACGCCTCCAGGAACAAGGGTCCTCAGTCACCCCCTCTGCATTCCTGACCCAATGAAGTTCAAAACCTTGATCATGGCCAGGGACGCCATGATCAGCGGAGCTCCTCTCCTACCTTTCGCTCCTGCGACAGCACCTGTCCCCAGCGGGCCTGCCTTTTCTCACCCTGCTTCTCACCTGGAGTGACCACCCGGCTCCTCTCCCCACTCCACATCTGGAAGGTCCCTCATCATCACAGCACCTCCCCTCCCAGCACACCAGCCATGTGCCCTGGCAGTCCCCGCCCCGCCGTGGCCAACCCTGTAGCCCTGTCTTCAAGCCAGACTCCCGCTCACCCACCTCCCTTGTGAGGCCCATCTCACGTAGGGTGAGGAATTCAGCTCCCAGAGCTCTGCTTTTCGGGAGGGGGGGGTGGTAGTTCTGATGTCATCTCTTTTCTGAGATTAAATATAGGGCTTGAATGTGAGGGGGACAGGAGAGATGAAGTCACCACCAAAATAAAACAAGTACCTCATGGGAAAGGGTCAGGTGATAGACCAGATGGGGCGCCTCGTGCCCCAAAGACAGCCTCGCCACTCCTCCATCACCAGCCCAGAACGGTGGTCCGAGTTCTGATAATCAGAGATGACAGATTTCCTAGAATGTGGAGTGCCAAACAAGACACCAGGTCAAGCAAGATTATTAGAGATGGGAGTTCTGAAATAGAAGATCATTATTCTAAGGCTACTTGGGGCTGAATCCATCCCCATCATGTTCTCCCTAAATGTGTTTTGGGGCAGGGAGATGATTCCACTGCACCTCACAACAGAAGAACCCATGTTCCTCTCTAACCTTCCCTCTTCACCCCTAGGCTGCTGCCCTTGTCCCTCTTCTTCCCCCCCTCCCTTCCCACCCCATCTGCCCTCCACATCTTACACACACAAACATCTTCCTGTTCATCCTGATGGAAAATCTTCCCACGGCTATCCTTTTTGTGGTAAACTAATTACTAATCAATATTTTCTAGTGTAGTTCTTGCACTTGGCCTCTACTACTTAATGATAAGGATTAATCATAAATCTTGCTCAAATGAGTCCTCTCAGCAATGATTTCCAATTGTTTTTATTACAATCACCAACAGAAATGCAGTTAGCATCCCAAACCCAGTAAATAAGCACCAGAGAGCATCAGTACGACCATAAGGGCTTTTGTCGCTGTTGACTTGGATGGGCTGCCTAAGGAGGGCCTCCATTATAATTCTGAATAGCATTAAAATAAAAGTCTCATGAGACAATCATTATTTTTGCTCCATAAGATGTACTCAGATAATTTCCAGTTTTTTTCTATTTTATTAAAGAGGAGAAAAGAAAAAGTTGGAAAAAGTTGGTTGAATCCCACTAAATTGATTTTCTGACCCAACAGCAGGGGGAAAAAAAAGTCTCTGCCCTAAAGTCCACTGAGCTTTGCACGAGGCAGGAACTTTGTAAATTGGTGCTGGAGAATTGCCAATGTGCACCTGGCCCATAGTTAATAATATTCTAAAAGCTATTCCGACGTTGTTTAATGACAATATTCCTTTTCCACACACACTGATGCCCACCTGTAGCTTTTTCTTATGCTCCAGTTTACACTTGTGAGACCTGACAACTCTCCTCCAAGCATCCTACCAGTGTCCTTGGAACCTTTGCTCCTGACCATTCGAGATGAGCACTACATGCTGGGGAAAGAGATCTGCATTTGGGGCCTTCAGCTGAGCAACCCGGAGATCGCCAGGCTTGTGAGTCATCGTTTTAAAAATGTTTCTTCAGGGGGCTGGGTATATAGCTCAGTTGGTAGAGCGCTTGCCTCACATGCTATAAGGTCCTGGGTTCAATCCTCAGCACCACACACACACACACAAAAAGTTCCTTCAGGGCTGGGGCTGGGGCTCAGTGGCAGAGCTTACCTTGCATGTGTGAGGTACCGAGTTTGATCCTCAGCACCACATAAAGATAAGTAAACAAAATAAAGATATTGTATAACTAAAATAATATTTGAAAAAAAGACTTTGGATCTGTTCTAGGCTTACCTTTTAAAAAAAATGTTCCTTCAAACTTTAAAATTGTATATAAGCGTTTAACATCATATATTCCAGCCCTAGTTTATTTGGCTATTGATAGACTTGTTGAAAGGTTTTCTTTTTTTTTTTCTTTTTTTATCACTACATTTTTAATAAAACATTTCAAATATATAAAAATGGAGAGAATAATAGAACTGACATCTGTAGACTTACCTCTCACACATAATCTACTTTCTTTGGGGGGCGGTGGTACTGGTAATTGAACCTGGAGGCATTTACCACTGAACCAATCCTTAGCCTTTGTTCTTTCATTTTTTTATTAATTATTTTTTATTTTTGATATAGGGTCTCACTACCTTGCTTAAGGCCTTGCTAAATTGCTAAGGCGAGTCTTGAACTTGCAATCCTCCTGCCTCTGTCTCCCAAGTTGCTGGGATTCCAGGTGTGAGCCACCACATCCGACATAATACACTTTTTTAAGGGATAAAATTGTAGATATTTACCAATATAATAGTTTTAGCTTTGTTTCACTTCTTTTCCCTACCTACTTCCCAGAGGTACCACCAGCCTAAGTTGATGTGTACTGACCCTTTGCATATTTTATGCTTTTATGATTTATGTTCCTATGAGCTTCATTGTATAAATGGAATTGTACGATGTATGATATTGTGACTTACCTTTCTCATTCATATTATATTGTCAAGATTTCTCCACACTCATTACTTTCGAGTGCTGTCATATCCTATATCACATATACAATTACAGATTAACTGTTTTTTAAAACTGAACTTCCATTATTGCTGAAGAGAAGGACTTCACTTCTGGAACAGGCAAATAATTCAGACCAATTATTTCGCCGACAACAGCAACATAAGCTAAAATGTGGAAAACACACACACACACACACACACACACACACACTACCAATGACCTAATAGAAGGTGGAGACCCAGGGAAGAGAACATTACAAGGACAATTATCCCTGGAGCTGTCTGGTTTAAAAGAAGGCAGTTGAGAAACAGAGAAGCTGAACAGTGCTTTTGACAATCTTTTGCCAACGCTAGGGAACACTGGCTTTCTGAGGAGACCCTGGTGGACCTTCCCTTGCTCTGGGCTGAGACTGAAAAGGGCTGCAGCCTAGAAACACAACTGAACCACACACAGAGAGGTCCTCAGTGACCACAGATTATTTTCTGATCATCTCAAGTTTTAATGTTAAGTTGAGGGATCCTAGATTGATGGTGCCCCATGGATCAGGAGCAAATGAAAATATTCCTTGGAAGACAATTACAACATCATATGCCTCCAATTATATCTATAAACAATTTCATAAAGAATAAAATCCAGTATGTAAAAAAAAGGAAAAAAAAAGATTCACAAGCTGTAGAAACAATGACTCTATAAACAGCTAAACAGCCCACAAGGACTCAAATATTTGGATTATCAGACATGTACTTTTAAAAATCTATGTAAACACAGCTGGGCACGGTGGCGCACACCTTTAATCCCAGCAGCTCAGGAGGCTGAGATAGGAGGATCTTGAGTTCAAAGGCAGCCTCAGCAAAAGCAAGGCGCTAAGCAACTCAGTGAGACCCTGTCTGTAAATAAAATACAAAATAGGGCTGGGATGTGGCTCAGGGGCCAGGAGTTCCCGAGTTCAATCCCTGGAACACTCTCCCCTTCCCACCCCAAAAAAAAAAAAAAAAAAAAACCCAAGATTTTGCAAAAAATTTTGCAAAAATAGGGGAAAAAAAGAACTAAATGGACATTCTATATAGTAATGGAAATTAAAACTTCAATAAATGGGTTTAACAGCATTTTCAACAAATTTAGAGTGATAATTAGTAAAAATGATGTGGCCAGAAGAAAATATGTGTAGTAAAGCATGAAATAACAGAAGACAGTCAGAAGAAAAGAGACCTAGTAGGTAAGTGAGGTAATCAACATATGTGTCACTGGAGTCCCAATAGGAGAAGAGACTAGAGTGGGATAAAAGAAATATTTGAAACGATAATAGCTAAGAACTTTCTCACACTGGTGAAAGACATTACCTCATATTCAAGCAGAGCTATGAATCCCAAACAAGTTAAATACAAAGAGAACTTAAAAACACCATATTGAAAGTTCTGAAGAAGAGGAAAATCTTACAATTAATCAATGGAAAACACACTGGAACAGTACCTGATTTTATCTTGCTCAACTTACAATTTTTTGACTTTATGGTGGAAAGTCATTCAGCACTTTATTATGAAATGAGCTTTGGTTGGATGATCTTGCTCCACTGTAGGCTAACATAAGTGTTCTGGGCATGTTTAGGGTGGGTCAGGGTAAACTCTGAAGTTCGGTACCTTGGGTATATTAAGTGCATCTACATTTAGCATTGTAAGTTGAGATGCATTTTATACATCCAGGACATAACCCCATCATAAGTCAAGGAGCACCTGAACCTTTAAAGGAGCACTAATAAAACTGACACCTGTCAAGTCCGTTATATGCATGTATAGAAACGTTACAGTCAAGACCATTGATTTTTTAAAAATTAATGTTGAGTTAATTATAATAATACAAAATTGACATCTGACTTCAACAGAAACCAAGGAAGCCACTCACCAGTACAAAATCTGAGAATTTTACACCCCAAAAAGTATTCAAAAATGAAAGTGAAAAAAAAAAAAAGGAACTTACCAGACGCACAGAGACTGGGAGAATTTGTCACCAGCCTATCTTCCCATAGGGAAATACAAAAACATATCTTCCAAACAGAAGCAAATGATCCCTGATGGAAGGTTGGCAACTCAGCAAGAATCAAAGAGCCATAAAAAAAATGATTTCCTTCTTGAACTTGAAAAGGTGATCATAAATTTTATAGAGAGATGTAAATAGCCAAGCATAAGCAAGACAATCTTGGACAGGAAAATCACAGCAGGAGAATTTGCTCTAACAGACATCAAGGCTTATTATAAAGCTACATAAATTAAGACAGTATAATATTGCTGCAAGGATAGATAAGTAAACCAATATAGAAGAAACAGACCACACCTATTTGGACATTTGATTCTTGACAAAGATTACCATACAGAGTAGCAGGGAAAAGATGGTCTTTTCAACCAAGGATGCTGAGACAATTGGGTATTATTATGGGGGTAAAGAAACTTGATCCCTTCTTCACATCATCCCCCAAATCATTCTGGGTAGATTATAGACCAAAAGGCAAAACAATAAAGTTTCTAGATGATATACATCAATAGGACATTGCAGTGCAGAAAATCTTTTAAACAGAACACAAAAAGAGCCATAAAAGAAAAGATTGATAACATGTACTCCATTAGAAATAACAGCTTCTATCCAACAAGAATCACCAGCAAGAGTGAAAAGGTGGGCCACGGTGCTGGCAAAGATTTTTGCTATCTATATAACCAAAAAGGATTCATTATGCAAGATACCTAAGTAACTCCCACACATTGTTTAGTAAAAGTCAAACAAACCAATAGAAATGTGATCAGGAAACTTGAATAAGAACTTCACCAAAGTTATCAAAGAGCCAATAAATATATGAAGAGGTGCTCAATTTAGGATTAAGGAGAATGCAAATTAAAAATATGAAGAGATATCTCTATGCAGCCACAGGAGTAGTGAAAATAAGTGTTTGTTAATAAGTGTCAGAGAGAATGTGGAGCAACTGAAATTTTTATACCCTGTGGTAGGAGCTTAAGTTGGTGCAAATCATTTTGGAAAACTGTTACAATATCTACTGATTCCAAAGCAATTCTATTATGTAAGTACATATTCACCATAAATATATATACACAGGTACTAGGAGACATATAGGAAAATATTCATGTCTATCAATTGTAGAATGGACAAATTATGTTAAATTCATATGATAGAACACCATAGAGCAATGAATTGAATGAAGTACAACTATGAAAAATAAAACATGACAGGGCTGGGGATGTGGCTCAGGCAGTAGCGCGCTGGCCTGTCATGCGTGCAGCCTGGGTTCCATCCTCAGCACCACATGC